AAGGTGTAAAAGTTTATAATCATTACAATAGTGTTTAAAATATTTATTTTTATTTGTATAAATATTTTAAGATATTTTATTGAATTATGATATAAAATTACAGTTAATTAATTAAAATTATTTGTTAATAATATTATACACTGACATTGTACTTGAGTTCAACTGATTGAATCTTACTTAATTAAAAAGAAGATTGATGTTCTCTTTTATAACGTGAATTGGCGTTGTCCCAATCGTAATGTTGATACCGATATTTGTCACGAATTTATTGTTACAAATTAAAGAGAATAATTTAGTAAGATAAACTTTTAATTGACTTTGAAATTTTAAATATTATAATATCCTGCATAGTTTGAGTAAGAAAAGACATAATAAATAAATTTTTATTGATTTGAAAGTTAGAGATATTAGAAAAAAATTACCGCAATTATTCTAATGTTTTATCACATTTGAATATTTGGTATCAAAATGCTAAACTTCTTCCTCTTAAATTATTTTCTTAATTTTAATTAACAGATAAGTAAGAAAACAGTTGAAAACAATTTTCGGCATGCACGTCTTCAAACTGTGATAATATCTTGATTGACTTTACATAATCACTAACAATTAAAAATAATATATCGCCTGTTTGGATTCAATAAATAAGACATCATGTTACTTGATTATTATATTTTAAAAAATAAACGTAAACCTTCATACTATTATGGAGTAAAATATGTTCCTTTCCATTCAAAAATAATGTCTACCTTTCTTTTATTGGTTATTAAATAAATTCTTTAATTTTAATTTATCTTTTAATTGATTTTAGTCCAAGCATTTCAAACGGAAACGGAAGAAAGAGCGAAAATTTTCTATTTGGTATGAGAATACTTCAGCCAAAGCGTGTTTGTGCATAGTTGGAATAAGTAAAAGTTTAATATGAAAAAGTTTAGTTGATTTCAAATTCTTAAATATTTAGGATTCTTACATAATTTGAATAAGGAAATAGATTCAATAGTAAAGATTATAGTTGGTTTAAAAGTCCTAAATATTAGAAAAAAACTAAAAGACTTTTTTGTCTAATGTAAATTTTATTTTTAGAGGGTAAAAAAGGCGAACGACATTTGTTAAGGCCTTCGTCGTGCTTTTAATATAATATAGATAATATAAATTAGTTTCAACACTTCATTAGTGTTAATTTTGTTCGGAAGATTTTTCATTTGGAGATTACTAAAATAAATATATAATTTTTCTTTTTCTTCCAAGCAAATACCCCAATATTGGAGAAAAAATTCCCATCGAGGGTTACGACGAAGAGAACTGTCTTCGCCGTCGCCGGTTACTCCATTATCAACGGTAGGTTCCTGGGCTTTTGCCTTTCGATTACACAACACTTCCACCGCCGGTGACTTGCGAATACTCATTAGTTAAATTTTTGTTCCGATCAATCCAAGAGGTTTATACCTAAATTCCACCTGTTTAGTCTCTTTAGTTCTTTATCTTATGCAATATTTCTATTTAATTGGTACAAATACAGCAAACTCCCTCCATCCCAATTTATGTGACAAACTTTTGAAACTTGTGTTCTAAAATGAGGCATAGATATTTGTGTGGCTATAAATCATTTTATTAAGGGTAAACAAAGCATTTTAAAGTTAAATTGCTATTAAATATGGAAATGTATCGTTCTTTTTGGACTGACTAAAAAGGAAATAGTATTGCATAAATTGGAACGGAGGGAGTAGTTGATTGGTTGATCATATTTCTATCTATTAGATTTTTACATAAAATCATCTGTATTGTATTTGTAATGTGTTTGTGTGGGATTGCAACTATGTTTAGTTTTGATGTTCTATGGAGGTTTCAATAATTGGAATTATATAATTGCACATGTGAAAGCAAAATTCTTTGTTTGCGAGAAGGACTTTGCAGCTAATGGGGTAGTGAATTGGCTTCTCTTTCTTTTTTGATAACTCTGATGTTTGTGTCAGCTTGATCGCACCTCGACTACTTTACCGGACACATGCATTCTCCTGCCAGTACAGTTACCGGTAACTCTACCCATAAAAGCTTAGGCAGACAGAAAGAAATCACAAAGCTTTTTGTCATTGCTAGGCTTCAAACTCTGGTCTCCCATGGTTTTCATTCTAGTTTCATCGACTACTAGAATACAATCTTGGATGTGGAATTGACCTCTCCTTTTAAAAAGGGTCTCTGTGCAATTGTTCTCATACTAATATGGTGGCACCTGTTGATTCTTCTGTTAACAAGACAAAAAAAATTGTTTTTCTTGTTCTTACTTCTTAGGCGACCAAATCTCGTATTACAGACCATCCTTACATGCATAGGCTGCTCGCTTTCTTCCCCCGTTTTTATCTTTTCACTTGCTTGCAATCATTGTTTTCAGTTGTATGGAAAATAAACAACAACAACACAGTGGGATCCCACGAGTGGGGTCTGGGAGGGTAATGTGTACACAGACCTTACCCTTACCTTGGAGGGCAAAGAGACTGTTTCCGAAATTTAGTTGTATGGAAAATGGTTTCTCGAAAAGAACATAAAAATAAAGATATACAATAGTTTCTTGAATCTGGGAAGAAGAACTAAAGTACGAAATGAGGTTGATTTGTACAAATTGCTGATATAGGTGCGATCAACCTAGAATGGGACGGGTGAAAAATTGCTTAGAGATCCTTGATATGGGTAATTGCAGTTAACTATGAACCAGCATTGGACCTGTCAGTGACTTCCTCCTTCCATTGTGTCCTAGTTGGTTCTCAATAACATTTTCTGTTCAGTCAGCCTACATCAATATTAAAAGCGTCTTATTCGTTGTGTGTGACATAGATATTTTGTTGCAAACTCTAAGATTTTCTAAAATTTTGCTTATTTCTTTTTAGTTAATTTGGATTATGAAGTTTTATGTAAACTACAAACCAGTCTAGTTGTCTCAATTTGATTTGCATGTGACTCTGCAAGTCTAAAATTTAACCATTTGGAATTGGTATATGCAACCAATATGATACTTGACATTAATGTGGTACATGTGCAAAGCAGGATTGGCTTTACTGTTGTACAAGTTCTGTACCTGAAATTTGTTACTTTATCCTAGGAATTTGTTTTTGTGTTGATTAATAATACATTCCCACTTAACAAGCTGTCTTTAATGCTACAGATGGATTCTGAAGCTAATGAAATGCAACACAAGCAAGAACGCTTGAGAACAAGGTGGACGCCCCCCCTGGACAAGGTCTTTGCTGACCTTGTTGTTGAGCAGATTAAGCTGGGGAACCGGCCGAATAATGTATTTGATAAGAAAACATGGAATTACATACGTGATGAATTCAATAGACAGACCAATCTTAATTTCAATAATAACCAGCTAAGAAAGCACCTTGATGTGTTGCGTACTCGTTACTGTAACCTTAAATCTGCTTCTGATCAAAATGATGCTTTGGACGATTCTTGCTACATTGGTTTTGACCTTTGGGAAGACATTGGGGTATTTCTCTGTCTCTTTTTTTGTATATCTGCTTGAATTTTCACCCCCCCGCCCCACAGTTTCCTAACAGTTCAATGGAAACAGGCTCAGCCGAAGCCTGAATCAAGCAAACCCAAGGAGTGCCCTATCTATGAGCAGCTGTGCACAATATTTGCTGACTCTGGTGCCGTTGGGAAGTACGCCCAATCAAGTCACTATGAAGGGATGGACAAATCTGCTGGGCTAGATAACTTATTTAAAGAAACTAGCAACTTGGCTCCTGTAAATCCTTCATCGCCAACACCTTTACATAGCGCTGCTACTTCACAACAAACTACAACAAGGAATGTAGCTTGTAAAAAGAGGAAGTGTTCATCAGATATAGTTCCTGCTTCTGACCAGAGCTGTGGGGATAAAGAGATAATTGATTCTATGGCAGAAGCGATGCGGGAGATGATTGCTGCTTCAAAGTTGCAGACAGTTGTTATGCCTCAAGTTGATGGAAGATTTTCAATCCATAAATGTGTCAAAGCGTTGGATGGGATAGAAGGCGTTCCAGACCATCTTTATTATGCAGCTTTGGATCTATTCGACAATCCCAGTCTAAGGGAGATGTTCATTTCTCTTAACAGCAGCAGCATACGACTGACATGGTTGCAGGGAAAATGTGCTAATCATGCTTCATTTATCTAGCATTGACTCCCTGGTTCACATGTTTAGTGGCAGATACCCATTTTAACTAGCAAAGATTTTAGTGGAAATGGATATATAAATTCCTATAGCATGCTTGTAATTACCAGCATGGGACGAGTAAATACATTGTAGTTAAGTTAGCAAGCATACATTTGGGGTTGTGGTCAAGGCATTGGTGGTAATGGCTACGGAAACTAAGGTTTTACATGTTCGTAATGCCACTAAGCAGGTTAGCCATTCTATTTTCTCTTGTAAGGAATGTTTTGAAAGGAAGATTTTTGTACTTTTGAACGAGATGTTGCAGCTACATTTTTCATGCATTACAAAGCTGGCATGCTTTGAACTCCTTTCTTCTGTTTTTAACAAAGATCTTATTTCCCTCACTTTGTCTTTGTTGATATGGCAGTGGTATTGCAAGAATACCTCATTAAGAAAGTAATTACTTTAGGAAACTGTATTATCCGATTAATGCCTTCAGGACTAAGGGGATAATAAAGGTTCATGGTTTTTAAGGAATGAAATTAACGATTTTGCCTGCAATGAGAAAGAAGATAGTAGCAGATGTGGAAATCAGAAGATTGCAGTAGAGGCTTGAACGAAATAATTTGTGCAAATCCTGCGCGGGAATGTGTAAAGACACTTGGACAGTGTTGTCTTTGGTGGCTTACCTAGAAATCGTGAGTCTACCAATATTATGTGATTGAATGATTGAGTAAGGTAGAAGGGAATGTGAGTATATTGAGAAAATGAAGATCAAACCTTGATATTCAAAGTTTTGGAGTTTGGAATTTGTCAGCAGATGATCTGCTCTGCTTATTTTGGTTGATAAAATCAAAGGTCACCAACATTGCAGCAAAAGATACCTTTAATTGAACTGGTGCAGGAATCACATTTGAATGCTAATCAACATGCAAATTTTGCTCTACAATGTGGATTCATATTCACAAAAGGTGTAGCATTTTCTGCAGATTATTCGACTAATGCTTCTTTAGCAATTATTATTTTCACTATTACAGAGAAATAGAGCCACTAATAAGCATGTTTATGAATTCATGAATGATCAGATGCATCCAGATCTCTCTTATTCAATAACTGGAATTACCGCTACTTCTCATCTTTCTTGCCTGTGAAAACATTCATGCTTTAAACAGTGCCTCGTACAATTGCTGGAGTGTCTGTTAATGGCACCATAGGGACATTTAAGCTTTGTAATATGGTGCAGAACAAGTATTCCAATTTGAAACAAGCCTATCTGATGTTGTTCCAGGCAAGTTTCGGACGTTAACTTCAAGAGGCAGCATCCTGTATTCGATATTTAGCTCCCGGAAAATATTGATCATTTCATCGATCAATGAGGATCTTCTAATCCATCTCGCCATCATGTCTTGATGGTTCATTTTGTGCCGCGGCCAAACTGTCATTACTAATCTGTTCATATCTTGTACATCCTTCACAAATATTACTGGCTTTGAGTACCAATACTTACCATGACTTTCTATATACCTGTTTCAAGAAGCCAAGGAAACAAGGAGTCAGATAGCAATGTAGTTCAGTCCTTTAGCCAGTGGCGAATTCTGGATTTAGAGTTAAATGGTTTTGCTCTATATATGTGCCAAGTTATTTTAAAAGGGTAGCCTGCTGCACTAAGCTCCTGCTATGCGCGGTGTCCGGGGAAGGACTGGACCACAAGGTCTATTGTATGTAGTCTTACCCTACATTTTTGCAAGAGGTTGTTTTCACGGTTCGAATTTTTGACCTCCTGATCACATGACAGCAACTTTACCAGTTACGCCACGGCTCGAACCCATGACCTCCTGGTCATATGTGCCTAGTTGTTTCACACATAAATATAGGCCGAGCTAAACGCAATGGATTCTGTCAAACCCGATGCGTCTAGTCTAGATCCGCCACTGCCTTGAGCTATAGAAATTAGCAAAACTCATGGAATTTATCCACATACCTCTTTATGTTTTCCTTCATAGTGATAATCTTGTCCCAGGGAGTAGAAATGTGAATAGAGAACTCAATTTGATCTGCCATATCACCACTGCGGTTATAATTACCAATGGCCTTAGTAGCTAAAATGTAGTTAGGGTATGTAACCTTTTGGAAGTCATATCTCTCAAATACAGTTGTTAGAATATTCACCTCCTCTACAACCATCTGTATTGAAACATGCATAAATGAGCAGGTAAGTAAGCTATAACTTTAGAGGCAGTAAAAATGATGCTTGCCTGCACTCCATCTACTTCACAACGATCACCCACGTCGAATGGGTGCATTATAAACAGAAATATGATTGCCTCAAATACTGTCCTGCAGGTGTTTCCGAAGATGAATCCCATCACGAGCAGCTGGGAGCTTACAAGCACGAGAAGATGACTTATTTGAATCTCAAAAAGGAAAAGCCAGAGGATCAAAATGAGCAAGGACACAAGTACGTTCATCAAACGATGAAGTTCCTCCACTGCTGTTTTTGCATCATTTAGAGAACATAGAATATATCTCCTTTCCTTGAATGCCTCAACCTTAAAATCGAAAACATTAAGGATATTGGCATGATTACAGCAGTAAAACAACTCTAGTGTAAAACTAATAGGGACATAAGTATAATCAGTTTTCAACTTGACCTCCTGGATTAGGTATAGCCCTTTGGTGGCAATGGTAAAACTAGAACTCACCATCCAATCGATGAAATATTGTTGATCGATACGTGCTTCTTCTTCTCTTCCTTCAAATAGATCAATGCTCTTCAAAGCTTTTTCTTGTGCCACAAAGCATTTCAAATCCTCCAGTCTAATACACCTTTTTGACATGGAAACTTCAGTGAACAAAGTCTTACTCCCTTCGGTTGATAATAAGTGCATTTTTTTGCCGATGGCACACCCATAAAGAAAATACTAACTCCTAGGAAAAAATAAATATTGTAACTAAACTACCCTTAATTAAAATTTGCATCAGTAGTTATAGTAGCGGTTACCATAGCTCTATTATACTCCAACTTACAGTGGCACTTATCGAAGCAACACATAAACCTCTCAATTCACTCCTTCAATTTATAAGACTCTTGATTAGCCCTGAAGAAACCATAAGTGAGCCTCATAAATCTAATTATATTAATGGCAATCAGCCTGAGAAGGTGATAAAAATGTGAGCAAGTTATTCTCACGTCATAGTGCACATCAATTGCTGAACCTATTTAATGTTATCATTAAAAATTTGAGTAATTTAAAAGACCTTCTAGTGATAAGTAAATTTTGGTAAATTTGGAAAAATAAAGTGAATTCCTTCTTGATCATATAAAAGGACACTTATTTCGGACCAAAATAAAAAGATAAAAAAGTCACTTATTATGGATCAGAGGGACTAATAGCTAAACAATGCTTGCTCTGGTTTACACCATCAGGCTTCAAAGGTATGTAGAGTACAAAAAGCTTAACTATTCTAGTTCTTGTATCATGTAAGCATGTAGCAAGTTCTAATTTTAATGATCTTACAATAGAGAGGGAAATTTGGTGCACTAAGCTCCCACTATGCGCGGGGCCCGAAGAATGGCCGGATCACAAGGGCCTATCATACGCAGACTTACCTTGCATTTTTGCAAGAGATTGTTTCCACGGCTCGAACCCGTGATCTCTTGGTCACATGGCAGCAACTTTACCGGTTACGCCAAGACTCCCCTTCTATCTTACAACAGAGAAATAAAGCATACTGCACTAGGAGAACAGTTAAGCTTAATCAAACAAATTAAAAGTTATAAACTGTGTAAAACTTACTCAGATCCCTTAGCGACTTTCTTGAATATCTTCCGAGCTAGCTTTCTAGCATTGCGACAAGATGATTCCTCATCCTCTTCGTCACTTAAATCGGAAAAATCTTCGTCCATAGTTGAAAGAGTTGGGATAAGCCCTCCTTGAACTAGCCTCTTTACACTCTTCTTTCCCAAGTTAGACATATACATTCTAGTCCATTTTTGTAAACAATTATTCGAGCGTTTCTGGCTCTTTTTTCCANATGGCTCTTTTTTCCATCAAATCCCCATGGAAAGTAAGTAGTACTACTAATATTCTTGGCCTCTGTTACATTCCTCATCTCACCCTTTTGTGACATACTATTTTCACCATTTAGGGAGTCTGATAAGCTTTTTATCACATATTGTTTGACAAGATACTGTGTGATTCTTTTGAAAAACTTCTTATTGTGAAATGATGAAGCAAGAATCTTAACAATAATTACCTTCATAAACCAGATCAAGGTAGCCACCAATATGCAGAGCAGACTTTTCGTCAGATAACGTAATACTTTGCTTTTCCTCTCGTAAGCCATCTTTTCTACTACCAAGAAATGCCAAGCAATCACAATTAGAACTACCCACAGGCAATTCTGAAAAGCCTTTTTGAGTCCATACACAAAGTAAAGAACCCTCAGCTTCTGTAAAAAACCACGTTCGATACAGAAAACTATTGCTCGTACACCCCAACCGCAGAGTAAATGGCCTGATATGATCACTAATAAGAAGATTTCCCACTTCCACAATGGAAGATCCCATAGTTTTAGTTCCTTCAGTTTAGAAACTAAGAAGGTACAGGCTAATGCCATCAGAATCAACACGAGACTCACCAGTTGAAAAATTGTCCACAAACTTAACTTCTTAGATATGGATTCCTCAAAAAAGTCTTCATCTATGAACCAATCTTCATCTTGCTCCTTGCTGCTAACTTTTCCCAATCTTGTATACTCCCATACTATGTCTTCAAACCTGGACTTCTTATTTTTAACGAGCAGCTTTGAGTTTCGTCGTGATGTCCCTTTCTTCCTGACCTCGGACATATCTGCACTTGGTAAGCACTCTGTGCCTGTCTTTGAGTTGGATAAATTTTCATCACGCTCATATTTAATATGAGCGCCAAGATCAACAACCACTTCATCAGGGTTATGGACGCTTGCACCAGTTGACCCTTTCATTTCATATAAGGAAGTTGATCAAATGAGTAGGCCTTCATATGTGTGCTTTAAGTAGGATAACTTATTCATATGTGTGCTTTAAGTAGGATAACTTAAATAAGGACACATTTTATTAACCATAGCTAGCACTTAAAAGAATCTCATCATCTGTCTTGAAAAGCATCTTTTCCGCGTAAAAGGCTGAGAACAGTGAGTGTGAAGTGGAATTTTATTTGTCTTGATTGTGTATATAATTATTTTCATTGAACGTCACAAATTATCCTGGGATACAGCTGCTAAGGAATAAAACCAGGCAGAACAAATATTTATCAGATTCTGCTGCTAGAAATCTTCGTTCTAAAGAGGTGATCTACGGTTAATGATGAGCATATTGTGTGGAAAAAAATTCATACTTTATAAGGAACTCTGAATCCAAGCTTAGTTGTGTCAAGAGAATGTTGACCAGAATATATGCAACATCTTGTCTTGCCGGTGTTTGATGTGCACACTGGAACAGGACAAATCATTCAGAGCCATAGTACAGAGAAAGAAAGAAATGTAAGGATGCTTGGAACTGTATGAGGATATTGCTCAAATTATTAACAGATACATCAAGGGTTGTGGTGCGATGGTTGGGACTCCTCCCCGTTCAGTGGTGGATATACAGGGCAATGTGTAGGTTCCCGGGAACCAAGTAGCTTTTGCACAGTCCTTGTATATATATTAAAAAATTTATTAAATATCTATAAATATTTGACTGTGAATCCAATTACTAACTTGAGATCGTTATAGGAATCCATAAACTTGAGAGTCGGGATCCGCCTTTATCCCTATTTAACCAAAGTTCTCGCATTCGAGTTGGAAAATAGAGAACCTCTTGGCAAAGAGCACTTTTACCCCTTAGTGGGCTTACCTGGCATTAATTCATATTAGCAGGACCAATGAGTTTCAAATATCGGATGCCCAAAGCGGCCACCCCCACCCCCCCTCAC